AGGAATGCCAGGGTGCCAGGGGAGGGGTGGGGAGGGTGGAGCAGGCCTCAGGCAGCTCTAGGACGTTTTGAGGGGGAAATCATGTGCCCTAGAGGGGCCCAGAGGACCTCCTGTGTTCCCTGTACTTCCTGGATCTGAACTGGAAAGAGCACGCAGGGGCTGCCTTGCACATGACTCCTGATTAACACAGACACAAAAGAACGAGCCCAGCCACGAATCACACAGCCCGACACACACCCTCTGCGGATGGAAAATTCTCCTGCTGCATTTCCTGTCCTTCGAAAACATTAACAATGCACAATCGTTTTAAAGAAAATAAGGAACTTTTTAAATGCAAAAGTACAAATAGTTTTTTTGTTTTTTAACAAAATGCTATTATTTATTTGTTATACATGACAGAGCACATGCACGTAGACAGAGAGACAGCACCCTACACAGGGCCTGGTCACCCCGCATCCCCTTTCTCTAGTCCTCCAGCCTGGGGAATCTTGGGCATTTGTTCTGGTGCCTGGTGTGTTTCAGGCTGACTAGGCCAGGGATTCAAACCATGGTTGCCTCAGGATCTGGCTTCTCTTGAGCAAATGACCACTACACCACGCAGGCAGGGCCTACAAATAAGTGTTTGTTGAGCCCCTCCCCAGGCCAGGCCCAGGCTCACTCTGAGAGCCAATGAGGAGTCAGACGTGGCTCCTGGGTAAGGAACTCAGGGTCCGCTGGGGACCAACACCTGACAGGTGATTTTAGGGGCCTGGATATACATGTGCACAATGAGCCTGGAGAACAGCACTTAGCTCATTCTGAGGCTTCAGGGAAGGCTACCTGGAGGAGGTGGGATAGAGCTCCGTCTTAGAGGTAACATAAGTAGCCGGGTAGGGAGGAGTGGGAAGGGCCTTCCAGACAGCAGGCCCTGCATAAGCAGAGGTGCAGGGCCATGAAGCATGCAGTGTTTCGGGGACAGGTGGAACCATCACAGTGGGGTTCACAGGTCACTCTGTGGGGTGCCGAGTCATCCAGGTACTCTGGGCAGAGCTGTGGCTCGCACTGGGGCAGAGGGGCTAATTGTTCTGGACAGAGCGACGTCCCCGGTTCTGCTCAGAGTTCCTTGTAAGGAGGGCCTCCTGTTGTCATGACGGTGGCAGGAGCGGGTACCATGCTGGGAAGTCCGGGCCAGGCGGCCACCACTCTCCGGGGCATGGCCTGCCCACTTGGCCTTTGGCCCAGGGCTCCTTGGCGTGCGGGAGTGGCAGTGCCTGTGGGTTTTACTGAGGGCAGATTAGATGGTTGGAGAGCACCATACCAAAAGCCAACGGTGACACCTTGCTGGAAGGACCAGGTGCTACCTATGAGCTCGGGGGTGGGAGGACCCAAAGCCGGGGGCGGGGTGGCGAGAGCTAGAGACAGGTGCTGCGGGCTGGCAGGGTGACAGTTTTGGCCGGGGCGATCATCCTGGGAGAGACTGAAGGCCTCCCAGATGAGACCTGGAGAAGACCTTCCTTGAGTCTTCGTCTCTGCCCGACATGGGCCACAGACAGGCCAGCTGTGCCTGAGCCCGGAGGCTGGCCTGGGGTTTGGGGTGAGTTCTTTGTGTTTCCAGAGTGTGTGGCTATCTCCTGTTTCCCAGAGCTGAGTCTTTTTAATTTTTTTAGTTTATTTTATCTGTGATAGAGTCTACCTGTGTATGTATGAGAGAGAGTGAGAGAGGGAGACAGAGAGAGGGAGGGAGAGAAGCACCCTCGACAGGGTCCCGTCGTGCTGCATACCCCTCCTGCTGCCCCAGGGAACTTCCAGCTTGCCTGGGTCACGGACATGCACCATGCCTGGGTGCCTACCCAGCTGCTCAGCCTACTCTCAAGTCAGCCCGGGGAGCTTAGCCCACAGTCAGTCATGGGGCCTCCATCACTGCACTCCCATTTGCCATCCACTGCACCACCAGGCTGTGAGCCCTTTGGAAAAACATCCAGTCTGCCTTGGGTGAGGGAAGGGAGTGGTTAGAAAGAGCATGGTCCAGGAGCCAGGCTGCCAGGTTCAAGTCCTGGCTCCCCCCAGTTCACCTTGAGCAAGTCTCCGAACCTGGGTCCCTTGGTCCCCTCCAGGGAGGAGGCGGTAATAGCAGACCTCCTTTTGGGTGATTGAGAAGATGAAGTGAATCACTGGGGGTTAAGTGCTTTGCGCAGTGTCTGGCACGTGGTAAATGTTCAATAAACGCTAGCTGCTGTCACCGCCACCGACTTCATCCTCATCATCAGCGTTCTCATGAAAGGGCCTTTCTCTAGCTCAGCCAGGCTGGGGCAGGTGTCAGGTGGCCCTAAGCCAGGCTTGCTGATAGCAGCAGATGGTCCGTGCCCAGGAGAGCTCGGGCAGCCAGAGCAGATGGAGGTGAAAACCTGGAGGCAGAGTTTATCCAGCAAGCTTAGCCGATAGTGCTGGGGACTGTGTCTGCGATGTGGCATCTGTGGAACTGTCTTTTCTTTGTGTGACCCAGGAGGCAGATCGAACTGTTTCTCCAGCCACCACACCCCCAACCCAGCCAGCTGGTTGTCCCCTGCCTCTCAAAAGCTGGGCCTCTGCTGATGCCAGGCCTACTCTGGCCACCGTGGCTGTGGCACCTCCCTCCTGCTAGCCCCAGTGCCTGCGCCAGACACCAGGGCCAAGGGAGCACCTGGCTTCCATGCCCGTTCTTGCATCCAGCCCCTCTGGTGCCAGCCCTTTGCAGGAGAGCACAAAGACGGGGCATTGCCCAGGCGTGGGGACCTGACAGAAAGCAGCCCTGGGCAGGGGCGAAGAGCCAGAGAAGGGGAGATGAGCTCATGTTGCAAGCAGCAGGGAAGGTTTCCTGGGCTCCACCTTAACCTGGCAGCCGGGGAAGGGACCACGGCAGGTGGGTCTGTCTACAGCACTGCCTTGCAGCAGGGGCCTGAGCGGGGCCTCCTGGGGACTCTGGCTGGCTCACGGCCCCTCTCAGCTACATCTCTGACCCAGGGCAGGTATTGACATCCTAAGTGAGTGGGCACACGTGAGCACGCACATGCGTACTTGGGCAGCGCCTGGACATCCCTCCCCACCCTGCTTTGCAAGATCCCACCTGGGCACAGCAGCCAGAGACTGGGCTCTTGGAGGAGCAGGTGATGGCCGGTTTGTCCCTGTGTTAGGGTCTGGCCCAGGGAAGTCATGGGAGATGCTGGATAACAAGTGGTGGGAGCTGGGTGGATGGAAGGAGGGTGAGTAGGAGGATGGATGGATGGATTGGTGAATGAGTGAGTGACAGACGGGGGATGCAGAGTGGCCTCTGGCCTTGTCCTGGGCTTCTGTTCTCTCCTGGCACTTTCATTCCACCTTACTGTTCTTCATGACCCATGGAGCCACCACCAATCAAGATTCAAACAGCAATGGTGTTCCAGGAGCCCCTCCCCCTGAGCCCACCCCATTTCACCTCCCAGAGATGCCAGCCGCTGTGCTCCCAATATGAATTAAGAGCAAGCACCCACACAGCCCTGGGCCCAGAAGTATCCTGGGGCCTCTTTTCCCATCCACAATGAATAGGCCCCAAGCTTGGTCCACTCTGCCTCATTCCAGTCCTCTAACCCTCCTCTCCCGCCTGCCATCTCAGCCCGACCCTCAGCCTCCTCACTCAGTCCCCATGCCTCTAACCTTCCTCTCCCACCTGCCGTCTCAGTCCGACCCTCAGCCTCCTCACTCAGTCCCCATGCCTCTCACCCTCTTCTCCCACCTGCCATCTTAGCCCGACCCTCAGCCTCCTGCTGCTCCTGGGGTAATTCTCCCCCACTGCTGCCACCCCTACTGGATCAATAGAAGATGACGTGGTCATGTAATGATTTCCAGAAAACTGCAGGGAGTGTGTGGCTCTTAGAGGCCGGATGCCAGCTGGCCCCTAACCTGATGGCTGATCACGTGCTCCCTGAGGACTCCTAGGCCCTCCCTGGGAGCAGAAGGAGGCGAATGTTGAGGCAGGCCTGTGCTGAGAGGAAGTGGCTCCTGGGCCCAGATGCGCCCTATAAAGAGGATATGACCAACGGAGAAGAAGTGGGAGAAGGAAGCCGAACAAAGGGCGGGAAATGCCATTCTGGGCTGCGTGGCCCCTGGGAAGGGGCTGTGGGACAAAGAGCTCAGGAAAGTGTAAAGGCTCTTGGACCTGCCTCAGGGAGCAGCTGCCTTAGCCCCCAGGGCAGGACGGGAGGCCAGCCCTGAAGAGAGAGTTTCCAGGTGGCATTTGCCCGTACTTCCTCCGTCGTTCTGAAGTTTTCAGGGAGTGCCCTTTTGTCCCCTCAGTCCTAGTTGCCCCTGACTTGGGTCCCTTGGGCTGCTTTAACAAATGTCACAGGCTGGGCAGGGAAACAACAGGCCTTAGTTCCCACAGTTCTGGAGGCTGCAAAGTTCATGGTCAAGGCACCAGCAGTTCCCATCCCTGGTGAAGGCCTGCTCAGGCTCACACATGGCCGCCCGCTTGCTCTGCCCTCTCCTTATGAGAGCACTAATCCCGACAGGGGACCACACCCTCATAGCCTCGTCTTTATCTGGTCACCTCCCAAAGTCCCTGATTCCAAATACCATCACATTGAGGGTAAGGGCTTCAAAAGACGAATGGGGGTGGGGGGACACAGACAGCAATCCGTAATATTCTCTCCTCTAGAAGGTCTTTCCTGAGCCACCGTAATAAGCTGGATTGGTGTCCCTGCTCTGGGCTGTGACCCTCATGGACTGTGACTGATTACTGCTCTAGACTGGGAACCCCCTGATGCAGGGACCATGTTGCTTATACACTGTATCAGGGCCTGGCACCTAGCAAGTGTTCAATAAAACTCTGCAGGGTGATGGAATGGAAGAGCAAAAGCCTGAACAGGAAGGCAAGAGCCCTTGTCCACTCTGCCCTGATGCCCTGTTCTAGAGTCCTTTGGTCCCCTCCTCTCACATCTCAGGTACCCCCTTTTGTCCTGTCTTTACCTAAGAGCCTCACTCCTCAGGGATCTAAGCTGTTCAAGGTCACACCAGTGACCTTGACAAGTGGCTCTTTGGAGCCTGGGATTTCATTTTTGGAGAGAGAGAAAAGGACAGGGATTGATTTTTCCCCCTGAGTCAAAGGGAAAAAGCTCTTGGCTACAAGCCAGGAGACAAGCCAGCAGCAGCGTGGTGGCTAAGGCGCTGGACTCCCACATTCCCGACAGCGATTCAAGTCCTCGACCTGTCAGCTTGCTTTCTCACTTTCCTTCTTTTCTCTCTCTGGTCAAGTTAAAATAATAACAATAATAAATTAAATAATTCAAATTATTTTATCTAGCTTTATTTATTCATATATTTTAAAATTTGACCAGAGGAGGACAGAGCGAGAGAGGGGGGTGGGGAGTGAGAAAGCAAGCCGCCAGGGCTAGGACTTGAACCATGGTCGGCCATGTGGGAGTCTAGCGCCCTTAACCACCGCGCCACCTGCCAGCCCCAAATTAAAGAATTCTTTAAAAACAAAGACCAGGAGACCTAGCCTTGCCCATAATAACCAGCCTGACTTTGAGAGCACCCACTGTGTGCAAGGACCATGCTAGGTGGTTTACTTGCATGATCTCATCTAATTGTCACAGCTGAGGAGGCATTATTACTAAAGTTATCATCACATTCCCATTCTGCAGAGAACACTGAGGCACAGAGAAGTTAAAGCACCTGCCAGGAAAGACCCCAGCCAGATCAGTCAGCTCCCAGAACCACCTGCCTGCGGGCCCACGGCTGCAGCTTCAGAGTCGCAGATCTGTGCTAGGTACCATCGAGAAGGCGGCAGCAGCAGGGTCTGGCACGTACCACTCGGGCTGGTGACAGGGTCTCAGGAGGAATGGGAACTTCCTGGCATAATCAGAAGTCACTGGCATATAATTTAGGGCCTATTATTTAGGGGTTAGTTTGGCAGGAAGGAGCCCACGCTGCACCTGCAGGAAAAGCGACTCTTCAGGGTTTAAGAAGACATGGAGGTCTCTGTGAAAGCGTAGTGTTTAGCCACATGCAGGTAGCTACCACAGGAAACAGCCCACCCTGTTCCAGCGGCTGCTTCTGGGGAGCAGGCTTGGGGGCCAATGAGGCACAATATTGGGACCTTTTTTGTTTTTTGTTTTTTAGTTTTTGCTATAGGGCACGTGTACTCTCCAAACAGAGAGAGAGAGAGAGAGAGAAACACTGAGGAAGCACCACTTGACCTTGTCAAGGTCACTGGTGTGTCTAAACCTGAATGAACAGCTTAGATCCCTGAGGAAGGAGGGTCTTAGGTAAAGACAGCAAAAGGGGGTACCTGAGATGTAGCATAGGTGGAGGTGAGAGGAGGGGACCAGAGGACTCTAGAACAGGACATCAGGGCAGAGGACAGGGCTCTTGCCTTCCTGTTCAGGGAGGATGGCCGCACCACAGTCCCTTCTCCAGTCTCCTCTTGGGAGTGTGGGCATGCACAAACACGTGCCCAGTGTGATTTTCAAACCACTGGATCCGGAACTTGAACTGCAAAACTGGCCATGTGGGATTCAGTGCCTGAACCTCCATGCTACCTGTGGGCCCTGTAGGACACTCATTCAGAAAGCGCCTTCTCTTGGGGGTAGCGTTTTTAACAAAGAATATGTCTTCCTGTTTATTTTATGAGCGTGAGAGACAGGGAGGGGAAGACAAACCCTCTCTCAGGATCTCACCCTGCAATCCCCGGCCCTCCAGCCAGCCGGGATCACGGGTGTGTGTGCCTGGCCCACACGGGCTGAGCAGGGAGTAAACCCTGGATCTTCCACGTGGACCCAGCATCGTTGGAGAAGTGAGAAACTGCTGTGCCACTGAGCAGGCCCTTTTGAATCAAAATTTTATTTTTCAACGAGCACGAGTCAAAGGCTCTTTCTCGGCTTACAGCTCTCGCTTTCTTCTTCCCTGACCCCACTGTTCCTCCTGCCTCTTTCTTTCTTTTTTGTCCAGGAAGAAAAAATGCTGGGCATCTTGGTGCAGCACAGAGTCCGGAGTGGTGTCTCGGGCATCGTGGGCATGGAGGTGGATGGGCTGCCCTTCCATGGCATCCACGCCGAGATGATCCAGAAGCTACTGGATGTGACCACGATGCGCGCGTGACCATCTGTGTCACACGTGTGCAGAGCTCCTGCCTGTGGCTAAGCCTGCATCTGTGGGATGGGGGCATCCCCAAGAGCCCCAGCTTCCCCCATAACAGCCTTATAAATAAGCACTGGCCCAGGGTGAGCCTTCCTGCAGGCCTGGGGGACTGCACGCCAGCTTCCTAGGAGGGGCCCGCCTGGGCCAGAAGATAACACAGGTGAGCAACTGCCAGGCAGAGCAAAAGAAGAGGTGACACCAAGACCACAAAGAACCTCCTAAACTAATTAAGAGACAGTAAAAGGTACAGATGTGGAATACATATTTACGGAGATTTGGCCTTGGGAGGTTTGCTCACCACCACCACCAAAATATTTAGATCTTTGAAATGCTTTCTTTTACAAACAGCGTTTTATTTACTTTAGGCCAGAGATCCCCAGAAGAACCTTACATTTACTTCCATTGCTTCTCCTCTGCCCCCTTCTCCCTCCCCCTCCCTGCTCACACCGCCCACTTTGGCCTCACTGCACAGGAGGGAGGAACCCTGGGAGGCAAGGGTCTGGCTCGCCCAGCCGGGCTCAGGCCACTTCCAGAGGCCTCCTGGACATTTCTAACCAGCTGTTCCTACATAACTCACACTGCACACGTCCCCTCAAAATTAGGCCCTGCCTGAACCCCCAGACCCTGGCATAGGCCCCGCACATCCTGCACTCTGGTACACTGCTGTGTGACGCAGCTTGTCCGGACCAGGCTGTCCAGCCGCCCAGGCAGGGCCCCGGTTCACTGGGTCCGCCTCGTTTCATTTCATTTCCTGGAACACGTCAAAGCCGGTTCTTTAAGGGGCACCAGTTGTGAGAAGTGGACCACATGGTGCAGACACGAACCCCATGCTGCAGGCCCCACAGTGAGCTGGAGGACACAGGACAGCGGCCCTGGGTGAACTTCCAGCTCTCCATACGGGGGTGAGACTCATCCCTGGGCGACATGGCTGGCACGGGGTCTCTGTCTTCATGTTTTTTCCATTCCATGGTACAACTCCTACACAGAATTTAATAAAGTTTTGCTCAGTTTTGCTCAAATGTGTCCTGTCCTTGACTGCACCTGTGGAAGGGCCGCCATCCATGTCTGGAGTGGCATGGAGAAGCTGGTTACAGAAGACGAGAGGCGACCGATAGGGAAGGGTGGGGTGGTCTAAGGTGAGAGACGGGCCTGGAGTCCACCAGGACAGATTTGTGGGGTGTTTGAGAGTCCCAGGGCATTTCCAGAAATGTGGGAGCAGAAATTCTGTAGCCAGTGGGTAGGTGCTCTGTGGACCATCCGGAACACTGGAAACCTCAGGCCCACGAGGTAGCATGGGTCATGCAGAGCCTGCTGGAGGCGCGACCCCAGGGCAAGCCTGCCAGCCGAGGGGTCAGGGCTCCTGAGCCCCCAGACGCCCTCTGGGCAAGTGCTGCCCATCACCCAGCTGGGCAAGGAGCGCCTCTGGGGTCCTTCCTCAACTCAAGGCATGGACCTTGCTGACCTCCAGCCCTTCGGCCTATCCCAGCACTGACATTTAATCTGCAACGTCCTGCCGGCCTCATTCTGCCACTTCCTGCCATTCCCTGTGGCTTCCACAGTGAAGTCTGTCAGATTCAAACACTGCTGCTCACTCCGGGCAGGTGGAGAGTGTGGCCTATCGGCGTAAGCCAGCGCTGTGGTGGGATGGCCAGGGTAAAGAAGCAGAGGACAACTGACCCTTTATGAGTTGAGCCAGAGTCCACTTCTGGTCTGGGCATCACATTTGAAGAAGTAGCTTTTATTCAGATGGAGGCACAAGGAGGTAAGAGCTTAAAACCTGTTCAGTGGTGGCCGGTAGGTGGTGTGGTGGTTAAGGGCACTGGACTCCCGCATGGCTGACTGAGGTTCAAGTCCCAAACCTGGTAGCTTGCTTTCTCTCTCTCACCCTGTCCATCTCTGATCAAATTAAAATAAATAAAGGTAAATAAAATGATTCTTTAAAAACAAACAAACAAAAATCCTGTTAAGTGGAGGGTAGCGTGAAGACCGGTCAGAGAATGGCCAGATGCTCACCAACCCAGCCTCCTTTTCTTGCATACCCAGGAAAACTACATCTCCCAGCCTTCCTTGCAGTAACTTTGGGGCCAATGGAGTGTGAGTAGTAGGGAGGTCAGCCACTTCCAGACATAGCCATAAGCCATTGAGAGACTCTCTGTGCTGTTTCTCCTACCTGAGAAGATGGGATGAGAAGTCCCAGGATGATGGAATCTCTTAATGAAAGGCTCCTGAATTACTGTCATCACTTGGGGAAAGGCTTGCCAGAAAACAGCCTCTTGTTGGACTTTGCAGAGTAAGAGATAAACTTTTATAGTTTTAAGACGTTGTGGCTTGGGGAATTTGTCTATTGTAATATAATCTAGTCTTGTCTAATATAGCATGGAAGATTTAATGCTGAGAAGTAGACCCAAGAGTTGTCTTCAAATATTTGTACTTTGGAGGCCAGCAGTTGGCATGGTGGTTAAGGCACTGGGCTCCTACATGGCTGACAATGGTTCAAGCCCCAGACCAGGCAGCTTGAAAATCATGCCTGGCACATATGTGTGTGTGCCCAAAATCCCAAGAGGAGAATGGAGAAGGAAGGATTGTGGTACGGCCATCCCCCTGGATGGAGGTGATTTCTCATTTGCTCTCTTTCTGTCTCTTTCTGGCCTGCACGGGCACCCTATGGCAGAAAAAAATCTGTATTTTCAAATACAGAGCCTCAGGGCTCCAGCCGCCACAGTTAAGGCCAGTGGGCAAAGTGGTTCCACTTGGGCTCATCAGAAGTTAAGAATTTCTGCCTTGCCCTGGAATGACCTGCCTTGGATAGAATCAACTGTCACTGGTGGTGTCTGTTGAGAGCCTAGACCCTCATTTTGTGTGTGTGTGGTGGGGGGAGGGGGTGCAGGATACTTCATGGAGAAGGAGTTGGACATCATGACTTCTCCAGTACATTCCAGCCCTGACATCTAATGTCTAATCTTTCAGCATTCTTCTGATGGTTGTTGAATTAAAGCAAATAGGTTGAAATCCCATTTCCCAGGGCACCTTGCAACATTTTGATCCCAGAATGAATGCCATCAAAGACCACTATCTTGGCAGGTGAATTCCAGGAACGGAGACTGCAGGATCACCAGCTGCAAAAAAAAAAAAAAAGGGGGGGGTTTAAGAAAACCCTCATGGAGGGGGCAGCAGGTGGAATGGTGGTTAAGAGCGCTGAATTCCCACATGGTTGACCACAGTTCGAGTCCCAGACCTCGTGGCTTGCTTTCTCACTTTCGCTCTCTCTCTCTCTTACTCTGTCCCTCTTTGGTCAAATTAAAAGAAATAAAATAAAAACAAAATAATTCTTAAAAAAAATAATTCTAATAAAGAAGAAAAAGAAAAAGATGGGATCTGCAGTTAGTGTAATGGCTATGTCGCTGAATGCCCATGTAGCCGACCATGGCTTGAGTCCCAGCAGCTCAGACTTATGCCAGGCACGTGTGCGTGTGTGCCCAAGATCCTGAGAGGAGAATGGAGGAGAAGGGATTGTGACGTGGCCATCCCCCCTGGGGGGGGGTGATTTCTCACTTTCTATCTCTCTGTCTCTGTCTTTCTGGCGAGTGCAGGTGCCCTATAGCAAAAGCCTGTCCAAAAAAGCCAAATTAATTAATTAATTAATTAAAAAATAGAAAAAAGAGAAAGGAAAGAAAAGCCCCATGGAACCAGCAGATGGTATGGTGGTTAAAGGTGCTAGACACCCCACATGGCCTATGGCAGTTTGAGTCCTAGACCTAGCAGCCTGAAACGCATGCTGGGTGTGTGGATGTATGTGTCCAAGATCCCAGGAGGAGAATGGAGGAGAAGGGACTGTGGTGTGGCTACCTCCTCTGGGGGTGATTTCTCACTTTCTCTGGCAAGCGCACATGCTCTATAGCAAAAAAAAAAAACCTTTAAAAAAAGAAAAGCATTGAGCAAAGAGCAAGATTCTGGCTTTCTTTTGTACCAGCCAGAGGAAAACAGCAGATGGGGATGTATTCAGTGCTGAAAATGTCTCCCACTCTTGTCTGGCCAACCCACAGACCAGTGTGAGTAAACAGGAAGATGATCCCTTGTCTTACTAAGAGACACTGGTGAATACAAGAGGACTCCTAGTGGCTTCTACCACCTTCAGTCCAAAACAGATAGACTTTTTCCTATTCATCCTTTCAGGAGAAAAACGAATCTTAATCCCCAGCAATGTCCTCACTTAAGTTTGTTTGGAAGATGGATCTACTCTCTTGGAACACCCCAGGACTCCAGGAGCCTGACCCAGAGAAGGATTAAGTGACCAAAATCAAGTTTACGTTTTAATATGATGCAGTTTATCCTTCGGCACAAACAAGGAATCTGCCACCATTGAGAAGATGATCCAGCCTAAAGAGGCCTGTTAGTAAATGCTGGTCTCCCCAAGCCAAATGCCCCCCAAAACAACCATTGAGGACAGCTGCAAAAAGATGAGTACACCACCCTTTCTGCTTCGGAAATCTTTTCTTTTTAAAATATTTTGTCAGAGGGTGCATGCACTTAGAGAGAGAAAGAGAAAAAAAACACCCTCCATGGGGGATGGGTCTACTGCAATCCCTCCTCCTCATCTCTCTCCTTTCATGATTTTGGGCACGTACGCACATGTCCCTCCCATGTTTTTCAAGCTGCTGGTTTCAGGACGTAAACCGCAGTCAGCCGCCTGGGATCCAGTTGCTATAACCACCATGCCACGTGAGGAGGGGATGATCTGATCAAGCCCTCTCTCACTGAGAGGAGAAACTCTAGTGGGTACAGGGGTCATGTGGCCAAGGACAGAGGGAGTGGTATTCTCCCAACTACAGGGTTAGGCTCTGTCCTCAGAAGGGGGTGAAGTTAAGTCCCAGAGTAGCTTTGCTGTAGAGCTGGTTGACACTCTAAGAATCTCAAGAGGTGGCCAGCAGGTGGCATAGTGGTTAAGGCAACTGGAATTCCCACATGGCCGACCGTGGTTCAAGTCTCGGACCTGGTGGCTCGCTTTCTCACTCTCCCTCTCCCTCTCTCTTTCTTTGGCAAAAACTCATGTGAAAAAAATTAATTAAATAAATAAAATAATAATAAAAAAAATCTCAAAAGGAAGAAGGGCCCTACTTTACTTGAGAGTTCTTTCCTTCTAGGCCACTTACTGGTTAAGCAAGGGCAAACTCCCCAATAACTGTTCAAATTTTCTTCAAGGTCCTTCCATTGATCTTCCTTACTCCTTCGGGTGTTTCAAGAGTCCTCTGGATTCCCCTGATGTTAGAAGAACCTTTCCCTTTGCCCAATAGACTGCAGCCCATGCCGATAACATGTGATTACTTGGTTTATTTGTAGACTGAGGTTTGCTACATAAACCCATTGCACAGTCTAACACACATACACTTGGCATAAAATAGAGGACAATACAAAAATACAACTCTTGATTGTAAATGGAACTGCCCTTGGCTCATCCCAGACCATGCCAGTGGGAACAGCGATGTTTAAGGTCAAAATAGAGGGGGATACTGTGGGAACGAGGAGGCATGGAGGGCCCCTCCAATGCCAATGCCCCAGGGAGGTCCTGAGAGGGGGCTGGGTGGGCTCCTGGCTGCATGGCCATCTCCCACCTTCATCTCTGGTCATTTTCTCCTCCAGGAAGCGGGTGAGAACCTCCCCAGGTCATCAGAGATCCTCCCTGAGGAGCTGGGACAAGGGCTGCTCAAAGTCAAGTGTAGCCCTGGAACTCCAGTAACTGCCCTTTTCTGGGACATATTCAACTTGGCTATCTGCCTCTGGGCACCTTGATGAGTTGGAGATGCAGGGTAAGGACCAACTTCTTGGAGGCTGGAGAGAAGACAGGCAGGGAGATTGGGGAATGGAGTCTGCTTGGCCCCTCTTTAGCAGATTCTAGAAATGTTCTACTGATGTCAACTTCCACCTCCCTAGCCACAGCACCTCCACAGGCTTAAGCCCACCTAGCATCTTGAATCTGAGGAACTCGAATACAAGGACATTGAGGGTATTCCCCGGGCAGTCAGAGCTGGTCCCAGCCCACTAGCCAGAAAGGCCACAGGGCAAATCTCTTCGCTAGCAAGCAGCCCTTCTGGCCCTTGGTATGACACAGGGAAGGATCTGTGCCTGGAATGTTGCAGAAGAAAAGTCTGTAGGTCTGAGCAGGTGAGGTGGAAGGACCCCTTAGATCCTCCCTGCTGCTCTCCAGAGGTCTTCGAGGGGATAGCAGTCAGAGGGCAGGAAGCTTTGCTGCAAAATTGAACAGGGCAAATCTGTGTGTGTGCACTGGGAAGCAGGAGGGTACCTCAACATGGCCAAGCACAGAGCGGCAGCAGAGATGAGTCCCATATCCCACTTTCCAGAACAGAATGAAAGATGGCAGTCAGCCCCTGGGCTATGCATGGTCCACCGCTCCACACTCGGCCCTGCAGAGGTAAGGTGGGACCTGCGGCACAGAGCAGGGCTGGAGAACAGGCAAGGTGAGCCCAGGGCCACCTCTCTCTGCCTGTCATGGCAGCTGCTAAAACCAGGGTGGAGCTTAACCTCAGGTCTTCGGGCTGAAAGATGCCAGAGTACCTTTGGGTCTTGTTGTATCTGAGAACGCGGGGAGAATGTCATGCTTTTCTCTGAGAATTCCAGACATTCCATTGTGGGTGTGGCAGGGGACAGGTGGGGGGGGATAGAGCATTGCGGGTCACATGATCTGCTTTCAGTGCCTTGGCCCACGGCTACCACCGAGACCCTGGCATTTAAACCAGGATCTTGTTCTTCATCCCTCCCTCTCCTCAGGTTTCCAGATCTGGTGCTTCTAGCAGCTGGAAACAGAAAACTAATTGGGAGAAAAGTGTGCAGAAACCCCACTTTAAGACACACTGGCTTCTAGCCCATCCTGAGACCTGAGCCCCAGTACTGACCATGGGCACCTCCCGGGAGCCCAGGGAAATCTGCTCAGCTCTCCCCATGAGACTGCGATGCGGCTGGAGCTGGGGTTCCTCCTCCACCTCCCACATCCCCCATTGTCCTGCTCCCTGCTCCCAGTGCCCTGGACACTTCCTAGCCTTCTGTCTCCCCATCTTGTCTTCCCTTCCTCCCTGTCATGGGGCGGGCCTTGAGTGACAATAATAATACTGCTCTGTTTGTCACATTATCAGGTAATGCAGGCTCACTGGGACAGGTACCATCTATGACAGCGATGGCACTGGAAGGTCCTGGAAGGTGAACACCCAGGTACCCTCACCTCCCACACACCCCTTCCTGGGTTGCTGTTTGCAAGCCTCCTGGGGTGACACTTCCCTGTCTTCCTCCCCAATAGCCCCGGGTGGCAGCAGAGGACACCCACAAGCTGACCGTGGCATGTCCCCATGCTCAACAGTCCCCAGGCTTGCAAGGTACAGCAGCTTCCTGGATGCAGAGAGGCCTTTCTGCGGCCCAGGCCCACCGTGCCCTCCAGCAGAGAGGCTCCTGAGCTCAGCTAAGAGGGGGCAAGGAGCAAGCCCAGGACCCCCAGGCCAGGCAACTGAAGACTCAGGCCTCCCTCAGCCCACCCGTGGGGCACCCTCCCATGCCAGGTGAGTTGGGGGCCTGGAAGGCTGAATGGAGCTTAGTTAACAACTCGGGCTCCTCGCCCTGTGCCCCGCTTTTCCCAGAGGCCTCGGGGGCGCCCAGTGGGTAGGCCTCCCGGGTACGGCCAGTCCTGGAGCAGGTGAGGAAGGCCAAGCAGGCCCCGCGGAGCCGGGCCAGGTCCCTGTGGGTGGTCTCACTGACGAAGCAGTAGAGCACGGGGTCGGCCACACAGTTGAAGCTGGTGAGCAGCAGGGAGAAGTGGTAGACGTTGAAGATGCTCTTGGCGAACTCGCAGCTGGCCTCCCAGAGGCTGCGCACCAGCAGCAGCACATGGTAGGGCAGGAAGCAGGCCAGGAAGATGACCACCGTGCTGAGCACCAGCCGCTGGATCTGGTCCTTGCGGCTCTTCTGGGTGCCGTGGCTGCGGCGCACGGCACGCAGGATGCCCTGGTAGGAGGCTAGCAGCAGGCAGATGGGGAAGAGGAAGCCCACCAGGAAGCGGTAGTAGTTGATGCCGCGCTGCCACGGCGCGATGGGGTAGTGCTCGAAGCAGACGCGGTGCTGGTCCTCGTCCTCCACGACCTCCTTGTGCATGAGGAAGTAGACGCTGGTCAGCAGCTCCTTGGCCCAGATGACCACGCTGACGCCCACGGCCGCCTTCAGTGTGCGGAACTGGTGGAAGCGGAAGGGATGGGCTACAGCCAGGTAGCGGTCGATGGAGATGCAGCAGAGGAAGCCTACGCTGATGTAGATGTTCTCGTACAGGAGGATGCCGCACACCTGGCAGGACAGGTCACCGTGCGACCAGTGGTCGTGCTGCAGCACGTACTGCAGCCAGAAGGGGAGTGAGCAGATGTAGAAGAGGTCGGCCACCGTGAGGTTGCACAGGTACACGCCCAGCTCGTTCCGGGCTTTGATCTGCAGGTAGCCGAAGTACAGAGACAGGCAGTTGGCTGGGAAGCCCACCACCAGCACTGTGACGTAGACCACCGGGGCCAGCGTCTGGTGGATGGTGTGATCGATGGTGCAGCCCACCGAGGTGTTGCCTGCAGTGAGGTTCCGCATCTTCAGGCCTGAAGGGGCCTCACCCCTCATGGGCTCAGGGACTGGGCCAGTCTCTCCACTGCCATCTCGGTTCTAGAAAGAGGTTCGAGCTGTATCAAGGGCTGGGCATCACTGTGGAGGTAGGCCCCTGAAAGTCAAAGGCAGGAAAGCTTAGAATAACAGCACTTGTGGGGACCAGCAGTTAGCGTAATGGCTATGTTGCTGGACTCCCACGTAGTCGACTGCGGTTCACGTCCCGGATCTGGCAGCTTGAACTCCTGCCCGGCGCGTGTGCGTACATGCCCAAGATCCCAAGAGGAGAATGGAGGAGAAGGATTGTGGCGTGACCATCCTCCCGGGGGCGTGATTTCTCGCTTTCTGTCTCTCTGTCTCTCTCTGTCTTTCTGGTGAGCGCACGTGCCCTATAGCAAAAACCTCTCCAAAAAAATAAAAATAAAAATAACAGCACTTGGGCCAGCCAGTTGGTGGCTAAGGTGGCTGGATCCCACATGGTCGACTGCGTGGTTCAGTCCTAGACCAGGTCTTAAAAATACACTGGCCATATGTGGGTGTGCGCCCAAAATCCTGAGAGGAAAATGGAGGCGAAGGAATTGCAGTGTGGCCGTCTCCTTTGGGGGACTTTCTTACTTTCTCTCTCTCTCTTTCTCTCTAGCAAATGCACATGTCCTGGAGCAAACAGAAGGAAAATATTAACTAACTTTTATATAGACCTTATTGTGTGTCAGGCATGGGTCTAATTGCTTTCCTCATTTAATTTAGAAGATGTACCGGCCCGTCAGTTCAATTCAACTAAAACATCTGAATGGGTCACACACCAAGACACTGACAATGGCTGATGTCTCCCCATCCACCTCTACCGACTCCCTGACTTATTTCCTGTCCCTTATTTATTTTCTGGTCCCATGGTACAGCAAGGAAGGTCAGGAGTTAGGAGCTTGAGTCTGGCTCTCCACAGTGAGCTCGAGGCAGTCACTCCCAGCCCACACACAGCAGTGCAGCCTGGCCACGCTTGCTTCCAGCAGCAAGTGTCCCTTCCATGGTTCCCACCTCCCATGGAAATGGATTCATTAGGTCCACCCACATGGAGGCCACAGCGCCCAGACCCTGGCCCTGCCCTCGGGGCCTCTCTTCACCCTCCTGTGTTCTGTCAAGAAGCCAAACCTGAGCTCCCCACAGGACACTGCCTGTATTCCTGGCTGCTCTCATTAAGGGCTACCTCTCCCTCTCCTTCTCGGCGCTTGGGGAAGACTCTGGACCAGGGCCTGAGAGATGTGAGCACTAGGCCGCAGCCAGCCACTGACAGGGAAAGTGAGTCACTGGCCTTGTCTGGGCCTCGGCTTCTTCACCTGTAAAATGGAAATTAAAGTGCCTGCTCTTGGAGGCCAGAATCAGGGCCAATCGAGCGACGGATGTGAAAACGTAAGGCATTGCTTTGACAGAGGCCGAGGGGGGAGGAAAAGAGGGTGGTCTCACTCGAATTAGTGAAGATTTCCTATTGTTGAGAATTTCACAAAGGACTGGCCCCTTAGCACAGTGATTGAGCACTGCGCTGGGGAAGCTGGATCCCACGTGGCTGACCAGGGTTTGAGTCCCAGCCCCAGCAGCTCGAAAAACACACTGGGCATGAGCACGTGTCACCCGGATCCTGACGGGATGGAGAACTAGAGGAAAAGGGACCCAGCAAACCAGGCCTCCCTCCCTTTCTTTCTTTCTCTTGCACACACACCCTCTGGTATTAAAAAAAGAAAAATGAAAAAGAAGATGTCATGGGGACCAGGCAGGTGGCATGGTGGTTAAGGGCGCTGAACTCTTACATGGCCGACCGTAGTTCAAGTCCTGGACCTGACAGCTTACTTTCTCACTTTTCCTCTCTCTCTCTCCCTCTCTCTCTCTCCTCTCTCTCTCTCTCACGCTGTCCCTCTCTGATCAAATTAAAATAAATAAATAAAATTAAATAAAAATAATTCTTTTTTAAAAAAAGAAGATGCCAGATACATGAATAAGTTTGAATAAGATCAAATGAACTGTTTTGTTGTAAACCTACTTTGTAAATTAACATAATGTTTAAAATGGGAGGCCTGAGCTGCTCTGTTGTTTTAACCGTTCTCAGACAAAAACAAGAACTAAAACCTTGTGTCTAAATCTTCATTGTTCAATCTTTTAAAACATTTTCCCTAACTATTACCTCTCCCCACTAACACAGATGTAGTGTGTACCAGTTTACATACTGTGGTCCTTCGGAAGATGATGAACCACTGTTCTCTCCAAGGTTTTCTCCACCCCACCCTGAGTCAAGGGCAGATTTTCACCCCAATGAGAACGAGCAGTCTCATTGCAAATGTTGGCTGAGTGGGGTCCAAATTAAGCCATTCCCTTGATAGGAGCAGAGCAACCCTGCCCTTGGCCTCTGCACCAGTCACGCTGGGATTCCTGGATCTGAAAGAGGAGACCCTAGAGTCCACGCCTGCTGACTATGACCCTCCTCCAGCTCCTCCCTCCTGCCCATCCTGCCATGGCTCCTGCCTGACCCTGGGGCCACCAGAGCAGTACTGGCAAGGAAGCCGGCATGGGGTGCTGGGTGGAGGCTGGGAGACACCCCATCTCACAGTTCTGGCCCTTGGGTTTGGAGAAGACAGACTTAAAATCACACATATATTCTTCCTGGGAAAAAGAACTGTGGCTTTCTAAGTGTCTAAAATAGGGAGAGACAGGTCTGGCCCAAAGCCACTGGCTTCACTCACCGGGACTCCAGGTCCCCATGGGTCTCGCCAGAGCCAAGCCCTCCTCCCCACTCAGCTCTCCCTGACCCAGGCCCTCTTCCCCCATGTTCTCAACACTCATCTGCCCTCCCCTTTCCACCTTGTCCTCCCCATCCCGCCCCAGGCCCCCTTTCCACCTTGTCCATCGCGTCCCAGCCTCGGCTCACGCCCTGGCATTACCCACACGTTTTCCCCACACAGCCGCGGCAATCACTCTAGCTTCAGACTAGGTCCTCCTTGCCTTTGCTTCAACCCTCTGAGACGGCTTCTCATCACACCTAGAAGAAAATCCAACCCCCCCCCCGGACCTACAAGGCCCCAACATGATCTGGCCCTGCACCCCACCTCACCTGCCAGCTCTCTCAGGCCACGTGGGCAGCTGTCTGTGCCCAGTTACCCCGACGGGGCCCACCCTAGGTCCCTGAATGGTTCGTGTCTCTTCCTGCAGGTCCTGTCTGCCTCCACCCCACCCTCACCAGTGTCCAGTGCCTTTTTTGAAAGATCTCAGCTTAAATGTCACCTCTTTATGAGGCCTCCCAGACCAACCCTCCACCCCCAGTAACCACTGCATTGTTCCAGCTGAAGACTCTCCAGGACTCCTGCCAGAATCTTTTATTTAGTTTATCTGTGTGTTTGTAGACGGTCTGCTTCCTCCACTGCAATGTGAACTCCAACGGAGCAGGGCCCTGGTTTCCCCAGCAGCCTGGCACTCCACTGGCACGCAATAACTGCACCTCACATGAGCAGGGTCATGCCACTTCCCATTTTCCAGATGAGGAAACTGAGGGTCGAAACGAGAAGTGGGCCGCACACTGATGCTGATGCAGGCAGGGGTGCTGTGCAATGCTGGAGACACAGGGAAGACCTGGGTCTGAATCCTGGGCCAGCCCAGACCCCTGGGCACTGCAGGTGTGCCTGTAATTCCAGTCAGCTGGGAGGCTCGGGCATTTTTATGGCAGGCAAGGCCCTGTTGAAAATCAACCTCTCTCTTTTACTCTCTCATAAAAAACAAACAAACAAACAAACAAAAACCTGAAGGCAGGGAGAGTTGGCCAAGACCACCTTGGCAGGAAGCATCAACATTAGAATCCAGCTCTCTTGACTCCACACCCCACCTCTCTGCCATACACAGCCTGCCTGAGAGTCACCTCCCAACCTCTTCGCTCCAGCAGACACGGCTTCCCGATCAGACTTGGCCTAGAATTTCAGTTCCACCCTCCTAGTGGAGGGTGGTGCTTCTTGTTCTTATTGGGTAAAATGGGCATAACATAAAATGTACTGTTCAACTATTTTTTTCTTTTTTCTTTCTTTATTTTTGAAGAGGTTTTTGCTATAGGAAACGTGCTCACCAGAAAGATTGAGAAACAGAAAGCAAGAAATCACCCCCCAGAGAGGATGGCTACGCCACAATCCCTTCTCCATTCTCCTCTCGGGATCCTGGGCATGCATGCACACGTGCCTGGCCTGAGTTTAAGCCACCAGGTCTGGGACTCAAACCATAGTCGACTACATGGGAATTCAGCGACATAGCCATTACACCAATTGCTAGTCCCCAAGTATTTTTTTTTTATAAAAGTTTATCTACTTATTTCTTCCATGTGCAAGAAAGACAAGGAGAAAGAGAGAGAGAGAGAATACTTCCAACAAGGTTTTGATGCCACAATCCTTCCCCAGCCTCAATCAGCGATGGATCATGAGCACACACATGTCTAGTGTGATCAGGGAGGACTCCAGACATGAACCAAGAACCATCCCATGTGCGTCAGCCTCAAAGTGTTGTGTTTTACTGCTGCACCACCACCTAGCTTCCCGCTTTAACCATTTTAGGGATTAAATACATTCACACTGGGGGCTGACAGGTGGCATGGTGGCTAAGGGTGCTGGACTCTCACATGGCCGAATGTGGTTCGAGTCCCAAACCTGGCAGCTTGCCTTCTCGTTTTCTCTTTCTCCCCTTTCTCTCTTACTCTGTCCCTCTCTGGTCAAATTAAAATAAATAAATAAAGTTAAATAAAATATTTCTTTAAAAAAATACATTGACACTGTTTTGCAACCATCACCACCCTCTATTTCCAGAATTCTCTTCATCTTGTGAAATTCAAACTCTGTGCCCTTTCAATAAAAACTCCTCTGCCTCAGCAACCGCCATCCTCCTTTCCGTCTCTGCGCATTTGATGCTCCAGGTAGCTCAGGTACGAGCAATCACATAGTGTCTGTCCTTTGGTCTCTGGCTTATCTAGTGTAGCTCGTGTCAGAATTTCCTGCCTCTCTATGGCTGACTAGCATTCCACTGTGTGTATATACCACATGTGGTTTGTCCAGTCGTGTGGCAGTGGACTTTTGCCTGTTGTGAATATTGCTGCTGCGAACGTGGACATGGAAGATCTGTGCCAGTTCTACTTTCAAGTCTTCTGGGTACAAACACAGAACTGGAATTGCTGAATCATTTGGTAATTCCATTTTTAATTTTTTAAGGAACTTCGTGGTGTTTTCCACAGTGGCTGCACCATTTTACATTCCCGCATAAGGATGATTTTGTTTGGTGGTTGGTTTTCACTTTGATGTTTTGGGGATGAGGGGAAGGGGGAATGGAACAGCTAAGGCCTTTGTCTCAAAGCTCTGGCCCTAGCCCTGTGAATCAGAATTCGACCCCACTCATGCTCCTTCGGCGAGCTGACCGATCCCTGAGTCTCAGCCCACACCCGGGCGGCCAAAAGCTTCACCAGACTCAGAGATGAGGAAGTCACCAGCAGGTCCCTGATGGCCCCCAGGGGCACCTGCCCAGCCCTTAGTGTTTCTGAATTTCCCCTTGGGAGTCTGTGCTGCAGATACAATCCACTTGCAGGAAGGTAATAGTCACTCCATTCCTGAGCCCAGGACTCGAGGCTCCACCCAAACAGGGCAAAAGAAACCCTGCAAAACCGCAATTTGCTTGTCAGGTCTTAGGAATTTATTAGAAATCACCAGGCCCAGAGCCCATTGTTGACAGTGGTAAATACTATGTGCAGGCTGGGGTGGGTGACGGTCCCTAGCTTCCTCTTTCCTGGGCCAACGTAAGCTAATTTTGGTAAGCATCATCAGAAATATGGATGTCTGCAGAAGAAAAACATCTACTAGGCTTAGATGAATGCTCCTCCTACATTCGGAGCAAGAAGAGGGTTTTGGTATTTAAGAGTCTCGCACGCAGGGCATCAGATTACTTAAAACAGGTTACTGAGCCCCACCTCCAGAACCAGGCTCAGTGGGTCCAAGATGGGGCTCAGAACTGACAGCCCTAACAAGCCCCCAAGTGATGTGGATGTGACTGGTCCACACCACACTTCTTTTTCAGAGAACGATTTTTGCTATAGGGTATGTGTGCTTGCCAGAGACATAGATAGAGACAGAGAGACAGAAAGCGAGAAATCACCCCACAGGGGATGGCCAGTATGTGTGCTTGCCAGACACAGAGACAGAGACACAGAGAGCGAGAAATCACCCCGCAGGGGGATGGCCACACAGTCATCCCCTTCTTCTCCAGTCTCCACTTGGGATTTTGGGCATGTGTGCACACACATACCAAGCGTGAGTTTAGAGTCTCCAGGTCTGGGACTTGAACCGTCGACTATGTGGGAATCCAGCAACTAACCATTACTCCATCTGCTGGTCCCTGGACCACACTTTGAGTAGCAAAGTACTAGGAGAGTCTAGGTCTGGGTTTAGCTCCTGAACACGTGTCCTACTGCACCAGTGTCCAGGCAGGAGAGCAGAGGCAGCTGGAAGGACAACTGGAGACTCAGCAGACCCTGTGGGCAGAAACAGGACACAGCCTTTGGTGGGCTCCAGACAGCTTCAGCCCCCAAGAAATAATGGCTGGGCCTGTATGAGTACTAAACCTTTTATTTGCAAAATATCCTACAGTTGACAGAGCATTTCACTTCTGCCCTCTTCTCTGAGCTACGCAGCAGGCTTGCTACTTGTCTCCATTCTAGAGATGAGGAAACTGAGCTCCAGAGAGACGATGCAGCTTGCCCAACGGCCCAGGAGTTCTAATTCACTGGACAAATATTTGCAGAGGGCCTGTGATGCTCCCAGCACCAGTCTGAACAGACACAGGGGGCTGGAGGTAAGGATGCCCTCAGGGGCCTCCAGGCTTAGGGGGGTCTTGCCCAAGTTCCTACCATGTGGGGCCGCAGGGTGTGGGTGGTGTGGCCGTCTTTCCCATACTCATCAAACGTCAGTTTGCTCTTGTTACTCCACACACACTCTCTGGATGGTATCACCTCCGTGGCTTCAACCCCATCTATACTCTAATGACTCCCAAACCTCTCCCCAGGTGGAAGGCTGACATAGCCAGTGTCCTGCGGCCTCACAGGACATGCTCAGCGAGGCCCACATGAGGTCCACCACTTCTCCACTCTTGCTCCTGGGAGGACATCCACCAGCCCAGCCCCTCATGTTGAATGGCTAGCCTCAGCTTCCTGCCTCATCGTCACCACCGTGTTCAGTTCATTACCAAGTTCTATCACTTTGGCCCCTAAGTATCTCCCACAACCACATCCTCCTCTTCAGCTCTCTCTACAGTGCCCTAGATTGAGTGCATCGAGACTTCCTGCCCAGAGTCTGCACACCAGCCTCCTGCTGGGCTTTCTGTCTCCAGCTTACCATCCTTGAGAGCATCCTCTAAGACACAAATCTAAACAAGTTGCACCCTGCTTCAAACAATTCCATGGCTGTCGAGTCAACAACCATCCATCCATCCATCCAACCATCCATCCACTCAAGTATCCATTCACACAACGAATGCCCCTGAGCACGTATCACATGGAAGGGACTACACCAGACATTGGCCCCGAGTGCCAAGCTGCTACTCGTCGTACGGGGAAGGGTGGAGATAAGTGAGATGTACTCATAGGAGAGCACAGGATTTTGCAGGTGCTCAGAAGAGGCGAACTAACCCAGTCAGGAAAGGTCTTTCTGAGCAAGAGCAGCTATGCTAGGCCCAAGAGAAGGGGGAAGGGCTGCCAAGCAGAGGGGAATTTCTGTCTGTGGAAATTGTGTGCAACAGGCCAAAGGCAAGAGGGAGAGAATGGGAATTTCTGGAGAACTGAAAGTAGCTTGCCATGACGGGATCTAGGTGTGAGGTGGGCATGGCCAGAGAGGAGAGAACAGAGAAAGCTGTAGAATGTGACAACTAATTAGAATGAGGAGGAAATCTGAAATGTCCCTCAGTGCCTGATCCTCATAGGCTCTACAGAAATGATTTGTCAGGTAGACAGATGGGTGGAGAGGTAGGTGGGTGATGGAAGGGTGAATGGATGGGTGGATGAATGGATAGGCTGATGGGTGAGACGTGGGTGGACAGATGGGTGAGTGTATGGGTGGACAGATGATAGATGGGCTGACGAATGAGGGGTAGATGGATGAGGGATGAGTGGATGGGTGAACAGATGGGTGAATGGGTGGTGGATGAAAGGATAGGTGGATGAATGAGAGGTAGTTATAGATGGACGAGTGAATGGATGAATGAGTAGGTGGGTAGGTGAGCGGGAGATAAGTACATAGGTGAAGGGTGGGGTGTTGAGGCTGGGTGCTGGGACAGTGAGGGTATCATTCATAGAAATAGTGAAATGAGAAGGAGGAATCACCCTCGCCACTCCTCCCCTCTGCTCAGCTGGCCAGAGGGTGCTGCTTTTTCACCAGGCTTTATCACAGCCAGCTTTTCCTTCTACCAGCAAAGACAAGTAATCCTGGAGGGAAAGACACCTGGCCAAGACCACCTGGTCTCCACAGGAACCTTGCCCCTCCAAAATCAAAGAGCACAATGAATTCGAAAGTGTTCTTTGAATGGCAAAACACAGATGGGAGGGAAGGGCCTGGCCACATTTGTGAGAGCCCTCCACTTGCCAGGCAGGTTTCCATACGTTCGTTCTCTCTGTCAACGCCACTGTCATCAGCCCCCACTTTACAGACGAATAAACTGAAGCTCAGAGAGATGAACCACCCTGCTCAAAACTCCACAATCAGAATGGGCAGGCCAGGTTGTGTACACAGACAGGCCCATACTTTCCTCTACCCCATGCTTTCCAACTATAGTGATGGTCATGGAGCCACTGTCCCCAACGTCAGACTTAGCCCAGCTCCATTCCTCACAGATGCCACCACGAGGGCCACCAGGCATAGACTGGGTTGGCCCCTGCACCTGAAGGATGCCCTACCAGGTCAACCATTTCTTCAGCACCACTGTACGTCCAGGCTCTGGTTTCCCAAGGAGGGGGGGACTGAGTAAGAAAGTCAAAACAACACTTTTCATCCAGCTAATAAACAGAAAAATGACACACAAAGTGACTCAATGCCTAAAAGCAAGTCTAGAGGTCTCCAAGGACTTCAAAGCCCCCAACAGGAAGGAAGGGCCTCTTTGACGTGAGCCAGGAGTCCCTTGCACATTCCAAGTTGGAAGGCGGAGGTGCCTGTCTGCAGGAGCCTGCACGAAAGCAGTGATCTAATTCATCACCCCACTCTCCCAGGCGGCGCGGTCGGCATGCACACAGACGGTTACTCACGGTGCTGGGACTGCCCACGGCACCCCTGCGCCCGCAGAGCTGGGGCTTCTCCTGTGGGCCCGGCCTTTCTTCTGAGCAGCTGGCCTATTCTCCACACGCTTTGAACAAGGCTTCTTGATTTTTTTCAAAAGGCTGTTAATATTCCCCTTTGAGGAGAGTGTGGAAGTCAGGCTGCAATTTTCCTTAGTCCCTATCTTTTCCCCAAATAGCCTCACCTCAGCGATGGTGAGGAAACAGAATCAAATTTCTAAAGCCCTTATAAAAGTTACAAAGTTCAGTTCTCTGGGCTCACAAAGTTCTGTGAGTCAAGCAGGGCAGGTGTTGCCAACCCATTTCACAGGCCCTGAAGCCCCAAAAGGCTACACTGGTTACTCGAGCTTACCCAGGAAGCTGGGGGAGATCTGAAGCCAGAATTCAGGCACCCAGACGGCAACTTGCTGTCTTTGAGATTTTCTGACCACAGATCATAGCAAGAAATACACTTCCGTGGTGGCCTGGCGTGTGCACATGCATGCGCGCACGTATGGAACCAAACCTCCCCAAAGCAGTACTTACCCTACTACTTGCCATGCATGCTGATATTTTCTATTCAGTTTCATTTTAAAATTCAGGTCATGAGCCACTAAGTTGATTTTCTGACCCACAGGTGGGGTGGCAGCCTACGGTTTGGAAGAACTCATTGGACCTTCGCCAGCACTGCCCGGCTTCTCCAGGAGCCTCCAGGGCCCAGACAGGTGTGTGGTCTCTGCAGCCAGGTGAGGAGGCAGGAAAGACTCTACCCAGGCAGCGCCAGGATCAGGATGGAGGGAGTCCTCCGATCAGGGAGTCTAGTGTGAGTCCTCTCTGGCTCTGCCTGCCCCAGCTCAGCTCAGTCCTCAAACCTCAAACAGCCAGGGCTTCCCGCAGCGGCTCTGCAGAGACCTAGCCCACCCTGCAGCCAGCACCGCCTTCCTGCAGACCCAGCCTCCCAGCGCTGTCTAGAAAATCCCCAGCTGGAGGCTGCCCGTTCCTGAGTGAGGCAGAATCATGTGAACTCCAGTGTGGTGTCAGGCTGGGCGGTTGCCGAGGAACCGACTGCCAGCCCAAGGATGCTGGCGGCAGAGCTGCTGTCCACACCCTGGAGCCAGTGAGCAGCTTTGCTGGGGATGTACTGCCTGAAGTAGGGGTGGTACCCTCGGGCTTAGGGGTGCACTCAGTCTGTCCATCCCGAACTACCCCTGAGCCTCTAAGGGATACCTGGGGAAACGGGATGTGGAGGCCTGGCCCAGGGCCTCACCTGAGACTCTCACCCAGGTGACTACAATACATCCAGGTCACCGCTGTGGTGTGGACACTGAGAACAATGGGACAACAGGCAGGACGGACAAAGCTATTTGTGCTCCTACCCCCAAGCTGCTAGCCTTCAGCCCCCAGCAACTGACACCTGGGGCAGAAACTCGCAACACTGGCCCCGCAGTGGGTTAGAGTATCCCTGGGGAGTCTATAAAAAAGGCCAGGGCCCAGGACCCAGGCCCCAGCCCAGACTACGTCAGCCCTGCTTTGTGGGGGTGAGGGGCCGGCATCAGTGGCTTTCAAGCTCCCTGGATGACTGTGAAGTACAGCTGGGGTGGGCGCTGGGGTGGCCTGCTCCAGGCCCCCCCCCAAAGTGAGGCAAAGGAGTCAAGGCTCTGGCTGTGACTAGGGTGACCAGTCGGGAGCTGAGTGGCCCAGAGCAGTGTCCAGATATAGGGCTCTGGCCTCCTGGGGCCTTCTGAATTTCTAAACTCCTCTGCTGTATAGTCACAGCACAGGGGGGCAGAAGGGACCCCAGGGCTTACCTAGCCCAGCCTCCTCAGTTTACTGATGGGGAGCTCAGGCCCAAGAGGCCAAGAGCTCCTGACAGGACTTGGCAGCTAAATGATGATAAAAAGTGATTGAGGGGGGGGACCAGCAGGTGGTGTAGTGGTTAAGGCTCCAGACACTCTCACATGGCCAACCATGTTCAAGCCCTGGACCTGGTGGCTTGCTTTCTCACTTTCTTTCTTTCTCTCTCTCTCTCTGGTCAAATGAAAATAAATGAATAAATAAATCAAACTAAGTAATTCTTTTTTTTTTTTTTTTAAAAAGGGTGATTGAGGGATGAGTGGATGGTGTAATGGTTACATCGCTGGACTTCCACATAGTCAACTGTGGTTCGAGTCCTGGACCTGATGGCTTAAAACTCTTAACAGACACATGTGTTTGCATGCCCAAAATCCCAAGAAGAGAATGGAGGAGAAAGGATTGCAGCATGGTCATCCCCCCTGGGGGGTGATTTCTTACTTTCTGTCTGTCTTTCTCTGTCTCCCCAGTAAGTGCACGTGCTGTATAGCAAAAATCTCTCTCTTAAAAAACAGAGTGACAGAGACCTGCCACCACATCGGTGCCGCACAGTTGTGGCCTAACCACCTCCCTCCAAGGCAATCTCCCGGGAAGCTGATCACAGGCTTCATGGTGGGGTTGGCGAGTCAGACACCAGCGTGGGGTTCCCAGGGGCACGAGTTCCCCTGCTCCGTAAGGTGAGTTCATGGGACCAGGCTTCTCCAGAGCGAACTGCTATAGTCCTGTCAGGGGACACAGGTAGGAGTCCTGAAAAACCCTCTTCTCTGGGCCCAGGCCCTCCATGGGCTGCCATACAGCAGGCCTTTCCTCAACAGCCTCTTACATTAATTGCTGCTTCTAGGCTTTTTTTTTTTTTTTTTTTTTTGCTATAGGACATGTGCATTGGCCAGAGAAACAGAGATACAAAGAGACAGCGATAAATCACTCCCCCCGCCACCACTTCCCTCAGCGGGGATGGCCATGCTGCAATCCCTTCTCCTCCATTCACCTCTTGGGATCTTGGGCATGCACACACATATGCGCCTGGGGTGAGTTTTAAGCCGCCGGGACTGGGACTTGAACTGCAGTCAACTACGTGTGAGTCCAGCAATGTACCCATGACCCCATCCACTGGTCCCCCTGCTTGTAGGTTTTAAGTTATAAGCAAAAGGCTGCCACCTGACACACAGCACTGTTGTGTGCATTTCAACACAGATCTGAGTAGCATGAGAATGGCTGGTTTTGCCCAGTGTCATATATCAGGTCGTCAGAAAAGTCATGACGTATTTTACCTATATTTTTCTATGCAAAAATGCATGCCTTTTCTTTTTTAAAAAGAGAATTATTTTATTTAATTGCATTTATTATTTTCCAGTTTGATCAGAGAGAGAGAGAGAGAGGGAGGGAAAGTGAGAAAGCAAGTCTGGGACTTGAACTGTGGTTGGCCATGTGGCAGTCCAACACCTTTAACCACGATGCCACCTCTGGCCCGCATCATGCCTTTTCTGACAACCCAGAGGCAGGGCTGGGATCAGGCGTGCAGGAGCCACTAGCGTGCCTGCCTGGTTACCCCCAGGACACGCCCTGCCCAAGAGAGCAGTTTTGGCCCCCTGTATGGAACAGCTCAGCCTAACAAGACAAGCACACGCAGGCCATGAGCACCACGTGTCTGTACTGCAGGAAACCCTGGTGGCACGGTGCCCCTCCCCGCCGGGGCCCCAGGGAGTAGCTCGCTGCCCAGGCTGCCCAGCCCTTTGCCACAGTGTGCACCACACCTGGCCTGGAGCAGGGAGTCTCGCCTTTCTCCCAGGGAACCTCTCTTCCCCTTCCCGTGGACCTTTGGGATGCAGATGGAGGTGAAGGTGACTTCAATTTCACTCACATCGCTGAGCCTGTCCTCCGACATGCCCACTCAATGAGGGAAGAAAGCCCACGTGTGTTCCACTTGGTTGCTAGACCTTGTCTTTAATCTGAAACCAGAAGGAAGGACTACCAGGAATAGTGATACCAGGCAGGGGCCGGAAGGAGCCCGGAACTCCCCATCGCCTCCCCCAAACCACTCCAAGTAAACCTATGACTAAGTCAAAGAAGGGAGTGTGTCATAAAACCAGCTTCAAAACATACCAGCTGTTGCCCCCTCCTCCAGTCAGGCTTCTGCCCTGTGGCCCAAAGTGGCAAGCTCTTAGGGGGCGGCCACTGACCAGAGGGGAGCATTTATATAATAAAGGGTGGGCCTGGGCCCTGTGGGTCTCCCTCTGGGGCTCATCCCATCCTGAAAAGACGTGGCCTGCCACATTAATTTTCTCCTTCTCCCTGTTCCATAGTCCTGAAGTGCTGTAGGCACCCCTACCCCGGGCTGGCAGCCCCCAGAGGTTGGACTGAGCCCTGAGCATATTCACCAAGCTCTGAAGGGCTGGCGGGCTTTCCCAGCTGCTCTGGAGGCTGCTGGGAGGACAACAGGGCCTGAGACCAGAAGGCCTACAGGCACCCCGGCCTCCCAGGCATCCAGGCCATCTGGGAGTCAGCAGAGAGGACCCCAGGGTCTGTCCTAGGCTTCTGGCACCTTACAAGGACTTCAGCATGCGGCAGCAGCCCCATGGTTACCCGGCGGCAGAGGATGGGGATTGAGAACAGAGGCTCTGGGTCAGACTGCAGAGGCCAAGGCCTGGCACTGACACTTTCTGGCTATCAGACCTTGAGATCATACCCTGGGGACCAAGGGGCTTCTGTGAGAATCGAAGGAAGAGAGGCCCAGCACGTGCCTGGCACTCAGTAGGTCCTCAGAAAGTGAGTGAAAATGTGGTGGTGGTGATGATGCTGGGGGCCCCACCCCGAGTCACCCGAGGCAGGGCAGAGGACGGGCAGGCCAGTGCAGAGGACGGGCAGGCCAGTGCGGGGAGGCGGTTGTTATGAGCACCACTGACTGGCCAGGAGGATACTCGAGGCCATGCAAATGACTCTGCTGACTTGAGGGTAGGCAGGGAACGGCCTCAGCGCCTCCCAAGGGTGCTGACGAATCCAGATGCCTATAATTAGCCACCCGCAGTTTGGGGGCAGGCCCTTTTACTGGCTAGGGTCTCGAAGCTGGCCTGGGCCTCCCGTGGGCAGCAGCCTGGCACCTGGCACACACATCTGCTCTTACAAAGGCAGCTGGACGCCCGGGGCTGCTGTGGCCTGCAGGTGCAAACAGGGCCAGGTCAGAATTAAGGATGGCTCTGCTGGAAGCTTCAAGAACTAAGAGGAGGAACAGCACAGAACCTACCGAAGCGCCTGGCACCAAGGTCCTGGGGTGGGGAGGGCAGGCTGGAGAAGAGCCTGGAGCCACTGAGTGTCAAGAGTGGCCATCACCATCGCCTAGCACTTTGAACCGGGTACTGTGCCGAACACCTTCCAAATCTTTCCCTTTTGATCCTCACATCAACCCTGTGTGGCGGGATTATCCTCCATTTATATTGAGTTGTCAGACGCCAGCGACCCAGTAGATGAGAGAAATGAGATTCAGAGACTACAAGCAACTTGCCCAGAGTCACACGGCTGGTAAATGGCAGAGCTGTGATGTGAACCCAGGGCTGTTTGCCCAAGACACAGGGCTCTTGACTACTGCATTAGTGCCTCATCCCTACCCCAACACACTGCCTCACACCTAGTGGCTTAAAACCACTTTAATTTGAGGCCAGCAGGTGGCGTAGTGGTTACATCACTGGACTCCCACATGGCGGGCCATGGTTCGGTCTCAGACCCGGTAGCTTGAAAATCACACTGGGCATGTGTGCCCAAGTTCCCAGGAGGAGAATGGAGGAGAGGGGACTGTAGTGTGGCAGTCCCCTCTGGGGGGGGGGGGGGGGTGATTTCTCACTTTCCCTCTTATTGTATCTGTTCCACTCTACCCTACCCCAGCACACATGCCCTCAGGCAAAAAACTCTTTAAAAGTTTTTATTAAATTTTTAAAAAACACTTCAATTTTTTATCTTCCAGTTCTGGAGGTTAGAAGTCTGATGTGGGTCTTACTGAGCAAAAATCCAAGCATCAGCAGGATGGTATTCCTTCTGGAGAGTCGAGTGGAAAATCCCTCTCCTGGTCTTTTCCAGCTTCTAGAGGATTCCAGCACTCCTAGGCTCGTGGCACCTGCCCATGTTTGAAGCCAGCAGGGGTGGCCCAAGTCCTTC